TCAAAGTCTCAGGGAATGGCGCACGCTGCCGTCTCTCTAGCGACATGGGCGACACCACATTGGCTGTCCAGACATTGCAGAAGGACCAGGCGAGAAGCAGCATTTAGTAGAGTAAGCTGCTGCACTGATCCGTTTCTTATTAGCAGTTGTTCTACTGAAACACGCCCTCAGCATTCATTGCAGCGGGTCTCACACAGGTTGCAACCCTCATCAATCAAAGCAGCAAACACCTTATGTGCTAGGTTTAGCTTAGAAACCCCAAAACAAGTGCGAACATCTGGAGTCAGCCGCACTGCCTGCTTGCTCTCCAGTTCTTGGTTACATGAAAATGCTAGAAGGCCCTATGGGGCAGCCACCAGAATGCAATGCAGGGCTGCCGCGGGCCCAGGAAAGATCTCAGAGCTGGAATATGGGGCCCACCACCCCCAGCATCAGACTAGAAACGCACCTCTTGATGAGGATGACTGTGTTGACTGCGCTGAGTCAGCAGAGAGTAATGGGATTAGCGGCAAGGAAGAAGGTGGAAGGGCGCCCTTGCTTGAGGCAGTGGTGCAGGCAGCGGAGAGGAATGTTGTGTCCTTCGAATCTCCTGGGCACAACAAAGGGGCATGGGCGCCGACGAAGCTCAAGGAGGCTTTCTCTAGCAAGGTGTGCTGGCAAGGAGAAGCAGAGTCTATATGGTCCTGCAAATGATGTCAACACACACAATCTGGAGCGTTGGAGCTGAATACTTGAAAGAAGCTTTTCGAAACCCGCTGTGCATCTTAGGGACTGGCCACATTGTGTTGCATATTGGAAACGAAAATCTTTGCGACCACATGATTTTGTGAAGTGCATCCAAGTGTAACTTGCGTCATCGAGCCTTGTGTCCACAGTTCCCAGCTTCTCTCTAAGCGTCCAGCTCTTCCACCCAACATAGTTACGCAACCCGTCAGAGACCCAGCTTCCAGATCTCAATGCTCAAAGCAGCAAAAGTCGAACTGGCTTCCTCCCTCAGGCACACACATTGCAGCACGGTGCACCAGCCGTATGAAGCTCCTAGAAAAGTCCGTGTCTCCTTCAGAACTCCTTGCTCTTGCCACTGCCTCACTGAACCTCTATCGCCACCAATCTTTAGGTGTTCGAGCATGACGTGTCTGGGTTTCCCTGGCTTTCTCTTTCCGAGGGCCCCGTCGAAGAGGCGCAGCAGCTCGCAGCCACCGCGTTTGGTGCGGACCGCACCTGGTTCCTGGTCAACGGGTCGACCTGCGGGGTGCAAGCTGCAGTGATGGCCACATGCAAACCGGGGGATGTGCTGATACTTCCAAGGAACTGCCATCAGGTGCGAGTTCAGGCGTGGAAAGGCCATTGATAGATTGATTCATCTTGGAACTGTCATTTTGGGTTTGTAACACTGACTGGCACCAACCAAAAGCAAGGTCGTTGTGAGAAGCGAGGCCTCTGCAACCAAGATCTGACAATTCTCATTTTTCAGTCTGAGGCGGTGAAGAATGCGCTCAAGGATTCTGTGACTGGGAACTGCCGTTTGTTTGGAGGGCTTTGACAACACTGAACTCCACCTACTGTCACCTTCTTGCATCAATCTGGGCTGTGCACAATCTGGATATCTTTTGCATCCAAGAGCACCTTCAGGCCTTGACAATCTTCTCCGCCCCAGGATTGGACCCACAAACTCTTGCTTGAAACGAGTAAAGTCCTCTGCGTCTTTCCACCATCCACCGTAATGCTGATCATCATTTCCCGCGCCATTCCCTGCTTATTCGTCCTTCCCTTATTTCGACCAGAATCAGTCCGTACGCCCTTGCTCAACCAACTTTCTCAGAACACTCCCAAACCCCTTCACCAGCGTCACGTCCCTGGTTTACGTCCACATCTAGTTTCTCTGCCCAGTCTGCAGTTTCCGCCATGGTCCTGTCTGGTGCACGACCCAAGTATGTCCTGCCAGACTACGATTCTAGCTGGGGCATCGCCTTGGGAGTGCCCCCCCACGAGATAGAGCGCGCGTTGACGGAGTCGTGGGAGGAAGGGCAGACGGTCGGCGCAGTGCTGATTGTGTCGCCCACTTATCATGGCGTCTGCAGGTAAGTAGCCTCCTTTAGTAAGAGAAGCTGAGGTGATTGTAGCGATTGAGAGGGGGTTTTGGAAAACATTCTCGAACGTGCGCTTGGGCTGAATTGGTGAACAATGGTGATTTATTGTCAACGACGTCTACTTTTGCAGAGGCTAAACATGTTAGTGGGACTGGACGCGAGTTCATCTCTCAGCAGCCTCCAATTGGCCTTCGTGATGGTCAGGTTGCATGAGGTTGTGATATCTCGTAGTTGCAGCTTTCGAACAACCGGTTAACTGTTCGAAATGACTCTCTGTCTCCGCTTGTCTTTATATCTCCTGTTTGGGATTATATCTGTTCTGAAGGTAGACGTAAGTTGACATCATTGCCGTCTTTCGCAGCGACATTTCCCGCATTGCCGAAGTTTGCCACGCGTTTGGGGTGCCCTTACTGGTGGACGAGGCTCACGGGGGCCACTTTAATTTTCATCCCGCCTTTCCGGGAACTGCCCTTGAAAGCGGGGCGGACGTAGCCATCCAATCTACTCACAAGGTGCGTGCGCAAGTCTAGGCCGTCTGAATTCGTTCGCATGCTTTGGGCCAATTACGATTCCTACATTCCTTCTGGGCCAATCAACCAGTCGAATCAATGATACAACGGTAGTCGTGCGTCTCTTGTGTCTTCTCTCGTAAGAGCAATCGAAAACCTTCCCAAAGTTCTGCGAAATGAGGAACGGTCCCTGCAACGCACATTGAAGATTGCAAGGCCCACGATCTGGATTGACCCGTTGTTCTTCTCCCTTGAAAGAGAAGCAATCCCTTCAAAGCTCTCCAGTCCGGGCTGTCGAGTTCGTGTAGCTAGACTGTTCATCCCAAAAATAGAGAGCTCTTCCAAGTCTCAGACCGACGCTCAGTCAAATACAACACGAACGAAAAGCACAAACGCCGTTCTCCGCCTTGATGTAATTGCAAAGTAACCTGTGAACCGGGCGAACTCGCAGGTGCTCTCCGCTTTCACCCAGGCGGCCATGCTGCACCTCAACGGCGACCGCGTGGCAGCGCACCGACTGCACTGGTCGCTGCAGCTGCTCCAGACTCCTCGCCCCAGTCACTTGTTGCTGAGGTGAGGCGACTTCTCACCGTCCATTCAATTGTGTGCTCAAATCCCAGATGAATCCTGGAGTGGAAGGTTCGGGTAACCTCAGCGTGCTAAGATATGAGCAGGCGCATTGTCCTTTGCCTGTGCTCTGCTGTCTGGCTGCTCGCATTCTTCAAGTGTATCGAATAGTGACTTGATCGATATTGCGGGTGGCTTCCTCTGTGAAATCCAGATTTATAATCAGATCACTGTGCAATGATCCTTCTTGGCGAGTTGCGATTCGTCCTTTTGACCAATGATATCGATTTTGTGAGTTCCTCTGACTTTTTGTATGCATTGTACTTAGGGGAGCTTAGGTGTAGTTTGCGAAGACCGAAGGGCTTCCGTCCAGTTATCACTTCCCCTCTCTTCTGCAGCTCCCTAGACGCAGCCCGCCTTGAAGCAACCCGACAAACCTCCGCCGGTGTGAACGCGCCCTTCGACTCCGCTTTCCGCTTGGCCACCCGTGCAAGAGCGGAACTCAAATCCCTCGCCGGAATCAAAGTTCTCAACCTCCCGGGAATGGACCCCTTGCGGGTGGCCCTTGACACCACCGGCGTTGGGCTGTCTGGTTACGAGGCTGACGAGACCCTAGTTGAAGAATCTGGTGTCATAGCCGAGCTGCCGTGGCAGAACGGGCTTGTGTTTGCAGTTGGGCCGGGTAGTCGGGAAGAGGATGTGAATAGGATGGTGGACGCGTTCACATCGTTGGCAGAAACGGCGCAGAAAGGGGGGTTCCGGTTGGAGGACCGGAGCGGAGATGGGGGTGCCAGCAGGGGCATTTTCGGAGAGGCACGGATGAGCCCCCGCGAGGCCTTCTTCAGCGAGTCAGAGCGGGTGAGGAAAGATGCTGCTCTCCTGAGGGGGCTTTTGGGAGCAGTCGGGAGTACAGTTAATACCTGGAAATCGTACACGGAAAATGACAGGGAAATAATCTTCATCAGGAGGAGAGGGATCCATGGAGATTACACCCATTTGTTTTTCACTTCCCCGACTTGCAGAGGTTGACGCCTTTTGCAACCAACTTCTCCCTGGTTTTGCAACCTATGATCGAGTGTTGTCGTCAATTGGGTCCCTTACGACCCTTTCCTCATCTACTTCATTGTCAGGTCAACCCTTGCAGGTAAATGTACCTTCTTACCGTAATCCTGCTGCGTCCGTTCTTCTGCTCTCTACGTAGGTGCCCGCCAGTGCCGCTGTTGGCCGCATCTGCGCGGAGCTATTGTGCCCTTACCCGCCAGGCATCCCGGTTCTGACACCGGGAGAGGTGAGGCCCCCTCGCCATTATGTCTGGCTCTTGAACGGAGTCTCAAAGATTCTGCCAAGCGCCGTTTCTCCTTCCTGCCGCTTCCGTTCCCTGCGACAGTTTTAAAAATCTCAGACTCTGCCAAGGGTTCGCTCTTTCCTGTTCACCAGGCTATAACTAGAGCCTCAACATTCTTGGAACATTCTTAGAGCCTCAACATAGCTTGGAACATCCAGCCAAAATGCTCCCTCCCCTTCGCCTAATTCCTTCTCTTCCCCCCTGATTCTGAAATATAATGACAGCGGATCTTATTGTCGAGCATTCTCTTGTTTCCACAGGTCATCACCACTACGGCCATCGAGCTCCTCGTCTCCACCCTCGACTCCGGCGGCACCGTCACTGGCGGAGGGGATCCCTCTCTGCAAAGCATCGCCGTTGCCTGCAACGCGCCACGTGGCAGCTCAGGAGCCGACCCCGCCTCGTCCCCTTCGGACGTCGAAAATTCTGAGCCGTTGGATCAAGAAACATCGCCTCTCTGGGAGGCGGTCACGCAGGCCGCGGAAAGAAGCGACGCGCCGTTCTATTTTCCGGGACACAAGAAGGGGGCGGGAGCGCCGGCAGAGCTGAGAGACGCCCTAGGCCATGCGGTAAGGTTCTTGAGAGATTTGGAAAAGGCTATTCCTGGATGCGTTATAGCGTAAGCTCAGAGGGACGTGGCTGTTTGAATCACCAAGCACTGTCGGGAGCGTTGGGCAGCAAGCCAAGTGGTTGTTGTTGAGTTTTTAGCATTTTCCGACGTCCTCTAGAACCTCGACCCGCTAGGCTCGCTGCAACGCATATAGCTCAGATTCTGCATCATTGTGAGAAGACTGTTCTGGTAAGAATAGGAAGGCTGCGTTTCCTTCTGGCGGGTTCTATAGGTGTCGTTCAGGTTTCGCTTGCTGACTGCGCATTTGTCGGAGGGCTCTTCTCTGAAGTGTTCTCCGCGCAGTTGTTGCGGCCGTCAAATGGAAGCTGGCCCGGGATTGTCACCATACCCACAACAAGGACATTCGGCGAAGTGGCGGACAAATCCGTCTAGCCTTCCAGCCAGGGACAATCTGAAAACGACTTGCTACTTTCTCTCATGATTCTCCATTTCAATGCAGTTGTTCTGCCACAAAAAGACAACTTCTGTTAGATATTGCAGAAGGCAGAAAAAGCCGAGATTGTGAGCTCTGCCTCATCACTGCCTCATTCCGCCGCAGGTGTTCCGCCACGATCTGCCCGAGATCCCAGGACTGGACAACCTAGCCTCCCCCGAGGGCCCAATTCTCGACGCGCAGCGCCTCGCGGCCGCGGCGTTCGGCGCGGACCGCACCTGGTTCCTGGTCAACGGGGCCGCCTGTGGGGTGCAAGCCGCGGTGATGGCCACGTGTAAGCCGGGGGATGCGCTGATACTCCCGGAGAGCTACTCTCAGGTGGGATGACGATCTGAGAGAATGAGAGTTTGAGTGGGATTGCTTAATGTCTCACAGCGTTTGCTGGTTAAGTCTCTTGGTGCTGGTTGCAGGTTGTTGGGGTTCCTTCCCATTCGCAACAGGTGATTCGTGCGCGCTCCGATACGACCGCGCTCATATCGTTTGCGCTCAATCCCAAGCTCTTTCTAGAAGAGAGCGCACAGCGTTGCAGGGATTAGGAAAGAAGCACAAACTGTGGGGCCCGATTGGCTCAATCATTGAGTTAAGCAGCCAACGTCAACGGCTCCTCACACTTCAAAAAAAGCACTCCCTTTGACTGCTCACGCTGTTTCTTGCGTCGCTTATCACAGTCGGCGCTTCCGGCACTGGTCCTCTCGGGAGCGAAGCCCTTGTACGTGGCTTCGGACGCCGGACCAGACTGGGCGCCCGAGCGTGGCGTACGTCTGGAGGCGGTCGCGGGCGCCCTGGAAGATGCGCGCGCGGCGGGAGAGACCGTGGGCGCCGTGCTGCTGGCGTCACCCACCAGCTGCGGCTTATGCAGGCACGTGCCCTGTCTTCCTCCCGGTGACCTTCCGGTGAAAGTTTTGGAGAAATTGTGGGAAAAATGGATGACAATCTACATATGGTGCCTCGCTTGTCTGCTCACTCTTTCCCGTTGAAGCTGCCGTCTTTCAGCGAGTGGTTGACAGAAAACAACGCCAAGCGGGATTGTGTCAAGGCGGGGCTGCTGTGCATCTGACAAGACCCGGTCGTCGTCATCGTTAATACGTCTTCTCTGGGCTGCAAATGTATCTATCTCACCACTTTGAGTAGGCACTGAAGTGTCAGCATCGCGCCTTCTCAGCGGATGCATTGCGCTCCTGCAGCACTTTTGCCTCTTACCCGCCTCGCGGGCCCGCGCTGCCGAGCTTTCAGACCCGCTGACGGCTGCTCCGCTCATCCCCCACTGCAGTGACGTCACTTCCATTGCCGGCATATGCCACTCTCACGGTGTGCCTCTCCTGGTGGACGAGTCTTTGGGAGCGCATCTCCGCTTCCATAACGCTCTTCCGCTCTGCGCACTTGACAGCGGAGCGGATGTCGTCATCCACGCCACTTATGAGGTGAGCAAAGCATCGCACAATCCACTCTGCCTAGATCTGCCCATCACATCTAGTCCCAGTGCGTGCTGTATTGGGCTTGAAGAGAGGAGTCGATCATTCACTCACGCAAAAGGGTGCAAAATGACTTTCATGATTGTTTTCCTCCTCGAAGCGTTCTTCGATTGTTCCACCCACTTCTCGTGTGTGCCCATGGCCAGTCGGGAGTAAGTGCAGCAACACTGAGCAGTCTTCAGGCACAAGCCTTGGACCATCATTGGACCTCTTCCCGTTGCTTATTGAGCCGGGCGATTGGTCGCAGAGGGTCTAAAGCTGTTGGTTGTCCAGAGCTGCCTCGTGGGTTTGATAACTTCAAAGAAGCAGAGCCTGGCGAAAAGAGCGTCGGCAGAGCGTTGGAGACTACTTATTCCTCTACTGGGACGAGATAATCATGTCCAAAGTTCGTCAAAACCAGGAGACTGGGCCCCACGCGAACCTTACCGCGCCGCTCTTTCGAAACTCCTCGCCAATCTCCCCGCCAAATGCCTTCAAGACTGACCCATCCCCGGTGACTTCCTCCCAGGGCCTTTCCGCCCTGGCACAGGCCGGCATGCTGCACCTGAAGGGCGACCGGGTAGCGGCCGCCCGGGTGGACCGGTCGCTGCAAACGCTGCAGTCGTCCAGCCCGAGCTACCTGCTGCTCAGGTGACTCACCGCGGGCTTTACTTTTCTTGTTTCCTCTCAAAGAAAGCCAGAGGGCTTTTGGGAGGCCGAGAGTTCTTTGGTTGCCGTGTGCGGTCGTCGTAAAGCCGTGTACAACTCTCTTTGAGCCTGTATCAGTGAAGTTGGATCGACTCCACAAAAGTTGTCAGCTCTCTGTCCTGCTAATACCCTGCTTCATTATGAAGATCTGGCTTGCAGTTCCTTGACTCTGCTTGAGTACACGGTCCACGCAACCTCCCTGCGCTTGGCCATGAACACAAGTCTGAACCGCAATTTCGCCAATTTTCGCCCAGTTCCCTCGACCTCGCCCGCGCGGAAGCTGCTCAACGGAACGAGAGCGGAAACAATCCTGGTTTGGAAGCCGCCCTCCAGCTTGCCGCCAAATTGAGTTTGGAACTCCGCTCTCTGACCGGAATCAACGTCCTTGAAGCACCGGAAATCGACCCCCTGCGTGTAGTCGTCGAAACCGTCGGACTGCGACTTTCCGGATACAAAGTCGACGAGATTCTTCGAGCGGAGTTTGGTGTGAATTGCGCGGCTGCTTTTGCAACCGGAGCAGTCTTTTCTGTCCGAGTAGGAAGCACGGTAGAGGATGTGAATAGGCTCGTGCGGGCGTTCACACTCCTGTCCGAAGCCGCGGACGGAGGCCCTCCGCTGGTGCGCCGTTCGGACGTCCTGAAAGATCTGAGCGTGATAGAAACGGAGTGTTTGGAGCAACAAGAGGCGCGGGCGAAAAGCTGGAAACACCGGCTCCCGGCTCTCGCCGAGCCTTTTGAAAGCGAGTGGGAGAGGTTTTGTGGGTTGAGTTGGCTTGAACAGAGCGAGATCGGCGGGCGAGTTGAGGCTGCGAAGCGCGAGTGGGAAAGGCGGAGGCCCGAAGAAGAAGCGGAAAACGAGAGCGAAGCTGATCAGCGAGAGAATTGTGTTGAGAGAGGGTCAAATGGTTCAGCTTCAGTGGTGGATGCAATACGGAAGGAAGCGAATGGAACAAGAACGGGGACAAGAAGTGACGGAAGGCGGACACGAACGGACGGAACGCGGACGGGAAAGAACGGAACAGAGACGGAAACGGACGGAAGTCGGACACAGCCGGACGGAAAATGGGCGGTAGCGGACGGACCGGGGATAAAATCGAACGGCTCAGAAGAGAGTTTGCCGGCTTTGCTGGAGGAGCTTTATGTGGAAGGGCGGGAAGAGATGCGCGCGTGGGTGGACCAGGCTTCGGCTGCCCTGGACGAAAGTGAGGCTGTCAGAAGAATGGAGATAAGAGCGGCTTTCGAAACTTACAGAAAGGCTATAAGCCAGGAATATGAAGATCCTCGAAGTGTTGCTGCTAGCGCCGGGGCTGTGTTAGAGGAGATAGCGAAGAGCCTAGGAGAGTTGCCAGACGAAATAGAGGTTCAGACGCTTAAGAGCATTCTCTGTCGAAAGCAGATTAGAGTAACGCAAGTCCTGCACGCGTGGCGGGAGGAAGGGGGGGTAGAAACGGAGAGCAGTCATTCGGCAGTGAACGCTGAGTTTAGTGGGGCGGAAACGGAAGAGCGAGGGAAGGAAGCGGAAACGGCAGGGCGGAAAGCTCAGTTGGAAAACCCATTTGCGCTGACGGACGCGAAACGTGCTCGCGCACAGAGTGTGGCGAGCCGGGAGAAGCGTCGGACAAGCAAACCAAATTTCGCCGAGCTTTTCAACGCTGCCGGTAAGCCCTCGTCCCGGCTAGAGGCGCTAGAAGTCGCTTTTGAAAGGGCAAAGAGGGGCTACCTAGAAGCGGGTAGCTTGGTTCGAGAAGCGCTGCAACTAATGGAATACGGCTCGGGAGAGATCGTCAGTAAAGGTCCGTTTACCGGGCGGCAAAAGGAGGCCTTTTCGAGAAACGAGTCGGTTGCGGCAGCCCTGGAATGCGCCAGCGAGGACCTGCTTTTCATCCGGTGTCTTGGAGGCTACCCCTTGAGCCGGCCGAGACGGGCGCCACCCGGAGGATCCGCTAGGAGGCCCCTAGAGGAGGCCCTCGACTTGGAACTGCGTAAAGCTTCCCGGGTTGGGCGGTCGGCGCAAGAGCAGCTCCGAGAAGTTCTAGAAGGTCTCGAGCAAGCGGCAGGGCCGGAAGAAGGGGCGGTATCCGGGGATGCGGAGATAAGGGCGGCGGAGCGGAACAAATGCGTATTACGTCACGCGACGTCAGCGCTGGATCATCTGAAACGCGCTTTCGGCGACCGGACGGAAAGGAAAAGAACCGCGTCTTGGCGGGGGGGAACATTGGATGGGCACATGGTGCAGGAACAAATCGAGGAGCAGAGCTTAGAGGGAAAGCAAGCTACAAGAAACAGGATGACTCCGCGGGAAGCATTTTTCGCTGACATAAACTAAAGTACGTTGGGAGTATTCCAAAAGCTTAAGTGACAGCTCCTTGAGGTTGCGGAGTTGTGATTCAGCGTCATGGCTGCAAAGGTTTTCTCTTCCTTGACATGTGGGCAGACCGCAATGTATACACGTCGCGTGCTTCAAGATTCGACCGAGTGGTTGAGTTTCCGCACGTTTCCGTGTTCTAAAATGGCATGCCCAGACGGTTACAATTCAGAGTCACATATTCCTATATCGATCAAGCGTGGGCCGACGCATACATGCACATGTGCACGTTGCGCGCGGCAGACGGTCGTGTGTTCAACCGTGCTCTCAACGGGACTCCATCTGCAAACGCTGCTAAGCCAGCCTCTGCATCATGCGTATACGTGGTCATCTGAAGGCAAGCAATCCATGGACGGTACCAACCGATGCGACGTGCTCAGTGTCCATGGTGGCGCACGTAGTCTCAACAAGCCTGTGAAGTTGATTAATCAACATTCAATTGCATATGCCATACTTTACCGGCCTGTAAAACTCACGTCAAAACCTGAACATGCTTGCCCGACATGTCAAGATGTATATATATGGTATAACCCACACCATGCATTTGGATCGGATGCACCCGTCAGGTAAACCTGTGTATCTTCCTTGTTGGCTGTAGGCATCTGAATCACTTGTATATAATCCTACGGCGCACGCGGCTCAGTACATGTATCACGGCTTGCAACACTCCGCATATGATGTTACTTAACCATATTGGTCAGTTGAACCATGAACCATATTGTTCAGTTGAACCATGCAAGCCAATATGTGAGCGATTCAGAATCCTCATGCGCGGGGCCTTATGAACAACTTCAATTGAATCATCGCTCTGGGCAATTTAGCAGTGCGAAGTACGTAAGGGGCTATGCTACCAGCCGCTTATGACAGAAGTAGAGTCAACAAGAGGATACAGTGAGAAATTTTCTAAAAATCCTATCATACTGCCTAAGCCCCCATAGCGCCAAACCGGTGCAATTACGGTTCCCCGGCCTGACCCTGCAGAACGGCATCAAAGAACTATTGACAGCAGTCCAACAGGAGAGACATAGAGAAGACAATCTTGGCAGAGCCAATGAACTTTCAGGAGGGCCTTTTGTAGGCAGAAACAGTCAGGAAAAAGCAAATTGTTTCAGCCCCGAAAGACCTGCTATGTAAATTACCCTCCTTCGAACTTTGATGGTGTCTTCAAAATCGAAGCCCCTTGCATGCCCTCCTCGCATGCACAGGCCCATCTTCTGACTTTTTAAAACAGAGCCGTCAACTTTCTCACCAAAACAATATCACAGATTCGCAATTAGTTACCACACTAGATTCAGGTGGAAAGACGAGTGAACAGAAAAGCATATGGAAGCCAGTGCCAGCAAAATGCTTTTTACTTGCTCAGTCAGCAACTTACCACTCCGACACAAAGCTCGCTGCATGGATTACGCATTATTGGTGGCCACAAGTTGGATCAGCTTCTCCAGCCTGGCGGCCTCTGTTGGGCTGCGGTTGCAGGGTGCGTCCGCTGCAGTGGGATATGCACGAGGATTGCAAACTCTGGCTATGTAGTCAACATAGCCGCGGCAGTTGTTCGGGTATGTCACATAGTTTGCCACTGCGTCTTTGAAGCCCTCCCACTCAGGGTTGCGCGCTTCAATGTCTGTCGTAGTGGCAGAGACGTAGTTCACGGAGCTTCTTCTCTGGCTGGTGAGGTACATGTCTGATCCGCGCGTTATCTGATAGTGCCCAATGCCAGCTTCGAAAACAGGCAAACTCCGTTTGCGGTCGCCACCGCATTTTCCCAAGCAGAGGAGACAGGATCCCCGTAGACCCCAGGAACGGCAGGATCCGCCGAACTGTGCAGTTCTGCTAGCATGCTGTGATCGGAACTCCGCTTCTCATCGGGAGCCGGCCCGTTCACAAAGTTGAGCACCAAGTATTGAATTGCAGGGGACGTCATGATGGCAGGTTGGAGTATGATAGGAACAGCTCGAGCACTTGAGTTGGCAGCAGTGGATTAAGAACCTGAGCTGGGCGCTAGCGTGCCGGCCTGGTTAGCGAGACTTTCAAGTTGAGAAGGCCTGCCAACAAGTGGCCAAGTTCTAACGGGTTTCAAACTTACATTTAGCTATTGTGGGATGAGGGAGAGGACGTGCCAGCCTCTGCAGCTTCTTTCAAGTGGGCGATATCCTACCTCAGGGGCAGCTTAAAGATGTGCATGTCCGCGATTTCAGCTCCCGTCTTTTTCTGTCTTCTCTGGCCTGCACATCTATCAGATGTATCTATCTCACCAGTCGGATTGCGCACCAGAGTGTCAGCATTGCGCCACCTCCGCGAATTCATAGCGCTCCTACAGCACTTCTGCTTTTCGACCTGCCTCGCGGGCCCACGGTGCCGAGCTTTGAATCCGCTGACGGCTGTCCGCTCATCCCCCGCTGCAGTGACGTCACTTTCCTTGCCGGCATATGCCACTCTCTCGGCGTGCCGCTCCTCGTTGACGAGGCCTTCGGAGCGCATCTCCGCTTCCACAGTGCGCTTCCGCTCTGCACCCTTGACAGCGGAGCGGATCTCGGGTACGAGGTCAGCAGAGCAGTGTGCTGACGACACTTGCTGACGTTTGCCCAATGCACTTCGTCAGCGAGCGTGCTGTGTTAATTACGTTGGGATTTTCAAAGGACGAAGTCAATCGATCATCCACTCAAAAGAACGTCGATTGATTGTAGGCAATATGCGCGCACTTTTATAGAGGCCATGGTTCGTCTTATCACACGCCTACGCCGACAGCATACCCGTTCGTAAGCTCTGCCCCTAGGCAATCTCGACCAAGCTCAGAGTTAACGAGCAATATTCAGGCACGTGCCTTGGACCCCTCATTGGGCCTCTGCCTTTAGTTGAGCCGAAGCGCAAACTGCGGAGGGACGTCCGAGGCGGTCCCAAAATCTGACCTCTTCTTATCGATTGGAACTCGAGGTCTAGAAGAGTTTGAGGTCTTCACAACCAGGAGATCAAGCCCCACGGGAAGGTTCACCGTGCCCTTCTTTCAGATGGGTGTTCCGGTTTTCCGGAGACTTCGAAGCTGACACATCCCCGGTGACTTTTCCCAAGGGCCTGTCCGCGCTGACCCAGGCCGGCATGCTGCACCTGAAGGGCGACCGGGTGGCGGCCGCCCGGGTGGACCGGTCGCTGCAAACCTCCTGCAAACGCTGCAGTCGTTCAGCCCCAGCTACCTGCTGCTCAGGTGAGCCACCGTTGGCATGACTCTGACACCCCATGTTAGGAAAGTGAGGGCCCCGCGGGAGCCGAGAGAACCTTGGTACCAAATTGGAGCGGACACGCTCTTTCTACGATCGTACCCTTGGACCGAGAAGGACACGCAAGAATCTGACAGCGTGACCGGTTCTTTTCATACAACGTGCCCTTGCTTTGAGCGTGCCAAGCTTGATATGGAAGGGCTGTGTGGACCATACTTCCTTTTTGAGCGCGCAACAATCTCGTTCTCCGGCCCAATTCGTATTGGATAAATCCCTTGCTAGATACAAAGCTCGGGCTAAAAGTTCCTCCGAGCTCAGAGGAAAACACGCGATAATACGCGACCTCGATCATTATCTGCGCCTGCCGATTGAACATATGTTTGATGACCGTACCTTCCCATGTTCCGTCCAGTTCTCTCGACCTCGCCCGCGCGGAAGCCGCCCAACGGAACGAGAGCGGAAATAACCCTGGATTGGAAGCCGCCCTCGAGCTTGCCGCCAGATTGAAAGCGGAACTCCGCTCTCTTTAGTCTCTCTCTGCCCGGAGTCAACGTCCTTGAAGCACCAAATATCGACCCCCTGCGTGCAGTCGTCGATTCCGTCAGACTGCGACTTTCCGGGTACAGATTCGATCCGACAAGATTCTTCAGGAGGAGTTTAGTATGAAGTGCGCAGCTGCTTTTGCGACCGGGGCAGTGTTTTCCGTCCGAGTAGGAAGCACGGTAGACGATGTAAATAGGCTCGTGCGGGCGTTCACAATGCCGCGGACGGGGGCCCGCTGCTGCTATGCCGTTCGGACGTCCTGAAAGATCGAAACGGAGTGTTTGGAGCAACTAGAGATGCGGGCGAAAAGCTGGAAAGACCCACTCCCGGCTCTTGCCGACACGGAGCGGACCGGGAGGGCTGCGGAGCGGAGGGGCTGCCCGGGCATCCCGCTGCGGAGCTTGCCAACACGGAGCGGAGGGCTGCGGAGCGATACGGATGCGATTACGTCACGTGACGTCAGCACTGGGTCATCTGAAACGCGCTTTTGGCGACCGGACGGAATCGATTGACAAGAACCGCGCGTCTTGGCGGGGGAAAGATTGGATGGGGCACAGGGTGCGGGGACAGATAAGGGAGCAGAGCTTGGGTGGGGAGCAAGCTGTAGAAAACGGGCTAACTCCGCGAGAAGCTTTCTTCGCTGACATGGGTAAGGAAACAGGTTGTTCGAAGGCTCAAGAAGCAGTCCCTTGAACTTGCGGCTCTCGGAATCGTCAGCGTTATGATTGCCCGGCGGCCGCGACCTGTTCCCTGTCCTAAAGGTTGCTCTTTGAGCCGCATCGCCCTTCAAGAATTGTACCACTTCTCGGACGCTGCACCTGCGGATATTGACGAATTCATGCAATATTTCTGCTAGATCGCACATGATGGGGGATGGTCCTCGCTTTGCAAGAGCCTCGCGGCTGCGGCCATTATGATACTAACGGTGCAACCAGCTATTCTGCATATGTGCGAGTAGGAAACCCACAATTGGCGCGGCAGTCATCTTACCCTCATGGGATGTATGCACGCATGCGGAATATAGATCTCCCATCATCTGTTCAATCTTGGATCTAGCATGATGCAAGCTGCGCGGATGTTGAATCATGAACGTTTGACATATATCACAAATGCACAAGTGAGGTCGATCGCAGCACAAATCAAGTGGTAAACTTGTGTATTGAGAACGAGCGTCATCGAGTGTCTTCTGTTGTTTCGGAAGGCTTCTTTGACGACTGCTGTTTTCTCCGTTCAGCCTCTTTCGCGAAAGTCTGAGCGACGAGAAGCGGGAAGACGATGGTAGCATCGCCGTGCACCTGCGCAGGGGCCGATCAATCATAATGGCACACACCTTTTCTTGAAACAGCCAGGAAGACCAGTCTCTCCGTTGGTAAAGTGTCAAAGAGGGTTGAAGCCCGCTCAAAGCTGCAAGCAAAGGCGACAATGATAGCGATGCAATCAGGTGCCAGAACAACATTCTCATCGAAACTCGGCCCTCAAACATAGCAACACCATAGCCAGGGAACCATCCTCTAGCTTTACTCCGGACCCGTCCGAAGCTGCAACTGAGAACCTTGGATCGTGCACTTTTAGCCGGAAGCATCGTGCCTCACCTTGACGGCCTGCGCGTTTGCTCTTATCTTGCCCCACGAAACGGCTTCCCCAGGGCTCGCGCCCGAGTCGCTGCCGTCGAACTCCTGGGCCGTATTCACATACACCGCGAAATCGGAGCCGTTCCGCATCAGGTTTGCGTTGCAGATGTGGTGCTTCGGCAGCCCTCCCCCGAGGATGACGACCCCCGTTTTGCGCGGCGCGGCATGAACGGCCTGCCCGTTCATCCGTCGGATGTCTGACACGTGGCACAGAGGGGCGGTGTCAGAACGGACGCATTCGGCGTAAAGCGCAGAACGTTGAGCACTGTTCAGCAAATTCAGGCTTCGCCTGTAAGGCAAGAAGCGACTAGCTAATCCCAGTGCGGCCTTCTGAGCTGCCGTGAAAATGGTTGCAAGCGGCTGCAAATCTTGATGCCAAGCCGGTGGTAAAAAGCCCTTCTTAATGACAACGCTGTTCTCGTCAAAGGGGCGACAGCCCACGTCTCCAGGGGCTCACCTTCGACAATGTCGACCACAAGGCCCGGGTGTCGGAAAGAGTGGAAGTAGATCATGTCCCCCAACGAGCCGTCTGTGAGTGCAGGGCAGAACACCGGAATGTTGTTCTGCAAACAGAAGACAACTTTGTCTTAGTATGGAAGATTTGCAGAGGCCTCGGAAAAGTTGTTCTCCCACCAAGCAACCATCTCGCTGATGCCGCATGCATTGTTCAGCGCTCTTGCGGATGATTCGGATCTACTCATGGGCCAGCCTCAAGTGAATAGTCACGGTCAGAGGGGTCAGAACCTCTTTCGGAGGTTCGGAGAGTCAGACCCCCTTGCCACAATACTGCAGAACCAAAAGACTCTAGCCTAAACGGACACCTGCATTTAGCCCACTGTGCATCAACAGTGAGGTAAATACGCCTCTTTGCTTCTTGACAGACAATTTGGTTCCTATCCTGATGCCTTGCCAGATTTTCACGGGTTTTGCAACAGCCCGAACAACCAATGGTGCCAAAATTGGACGCTGCCCTGTATCCATCTTTTCAAGGTTAGCCAGATGAAACAGAACTACGTGTAGCCAACTTCGACCCACCTTGTGGGCCCAATACCAGCACGAATCTGGGTCGTCGATTTCCTTGCCCAGCCGATCGATGATCTTGGACGGTGTCCACAGCTGCCCCGTCTCCTTCTGCTCCGCTAAAAACTGGTCCAGAATCGGGTTAACCCAGTCTTCGAACTTGCAGTAGTTATCATTCGGCACCAGCAGGTTACCAATCCGGTTAAGCCCCCGCGCTCGGAGGGCCGCCCCGTCCAGCGAAAAGGCGCCCTGGTACGTTGGCGCCAGACATTTTATGAGGTCTTCCTCGACGCCCCCTGCGGTCGTTACGACGACGTCCACCTGGAAAAGGGAGATATCAGTAACCCTCGTCGTCGTGCTTTCCGTTTCCTTCTTATTATACTGCTATTTTTGGTACGACCGCCCATCGTCCATGGAACACGTTTCTGTCTAGCGGAGAGGTTAAGATCGCCTAGATTTGGGTTTCTTACAGTCGGAAACCATTAGCCGGAGGGCCCAGAATCGTATCCACTGGTCGTAAGTCGTCATGATCCAGTTACTAAAGCGCTTTTGCCCCAGATCTGGTTTAATGCCCCTTATTTCGCAGCCCCGTGTCTACCCCTTATGAGCGGGTCCCGGCAGACAGGCTGAAACTTTCAAAGTGCCAACCACGCTGGTGGCTATGTCCGTGCTTCGACTGTCGCTGCTCAAGATTGTTTTCAAAATGGAGAAACCAAAACTAATCGCCCCTGTTCATGAGATGCAATGCATCTCAATTTCCAGAACGGGGTTGGAAAAGTCGAACTAGTTTGCCACCCGTAAAGGCCACACATCGATGTTTGCCCCTCACAGCCTTTCTTCCCTGATTTTTCACGCACCTGACTGCCACTTCAAGAGAAGCTCACTCCACAATTCTAAAGGACTTCTGCAACGACTCACCAGCTTATGCTGTATCAAGAAGCGCACGGTCTCTCGGACCCCACTGGAAATGAGGTTGGAGGTAAAGCCCAGGAAGATCTTGCAACGTGTGGCGGCACGAAATGCGGGGTCCCGCTCCTCCGGATCGCAGTCATCCACGACAGGCTCGTCGCTCAACCGCCACTCCAACTGTGGAGGAGGGGGCAGGCAAGCGCGTTGTTGAATACTTTCGCAAGCAAGGTCGTGATGGAATCAGTGTGGAAGAGGATTGATTGTGAGGAGCATGATGCAGTGGTGGTAAGGCCATGTCGTAAGCTCCGGAGAAGGCCTTTGGAGCTCACAACAAAAAGCCACTCTAGTGACGACAAATGTGGCCCAACTTGATTAAGCCCTTCCCTACGGAGTGGAGTTATTAGGTGACAGCAAGCCACCAGGGTCCCGCAATCAAGCACCTCCACATGCTGACATTAGGAGATGGACCCAAGACGCAATGCTGCAATACTACCACCCCCGCACGACGTACCATTCTATTGATCTCATCGATGGCCCGTCCAAAGTTAGACGCCTGAAAACCGGTGGTGGCCATCGCGCCAAGCAGCGCCTCATAATCGATGCCATTGGAGAAGTCGTAGCCGCGGATCACAGGGGTTGACGCCGGCAAGCCCTCCGACTGCTTCAGCACAGCCTCTGATGCGGCGGCCGGAGGGGCGCCATTCGCTGATGCCATGATCTTCCAAGCAGGACACGAATTTCTGGCCAGCAAGTGCCAGCTGGCGAATGGCATTCTCCCCCCTCCATGTGCGAGCTGATCTTTTAAACCCGTTACTGATCGGTAATGGATGCAGGGCCTACATGTGTGAGTCGGTCGATCACGTGGTCAGCGAAGTGGTACGGCCAGGCCACGTCATCTAGAGCCAATGTTCGGACGTTGTCGCCGCTTTTGTACGTCCAGCCCAGACTCGAGCCTGGACGGTCGGTGTCCGAACGGTACACTGACATGATGGGCTATAGAGCCTAGAATCGCAGAATCAAGCCTCGAGGTTTGAGGCAAAAGCACGAAGAAGGAAGGGAGCACAGCGAGGAAAGGAGACGCCATTCAGTAGCACATTGCCGCACAAGAGAGCCAGGCTTGCATCTTCTTCATCCAAGCGTTGAAACCCTATCTTGACTTCTGGTAAACCTCAGAAGCGTTGCCGCGTCCCTTTGCAGCGTCGGCACAAGCCGGAATGGCCACGTATGCGCGGGCCTCCGTTGGACCCGACATTGTGGCGCAGTCCGCCCAAGTCGTCCAGTCTAGTTCTCTCCGCCAACAACCCCATGGGAAGCTTGTCAGATGCGTCCCCCCGTCTTGTCAACGCCTTGGTCTGCCTGGAAGTATGGTAGGCAAGGGCAAGGCGTGTTATCAAGGTCCGCAGGCGCGGTTGTCTGCTCCAGAGGCCGGGCCCAGTGTCCCTATGGTTCCCCCCCCAGTAGAGTGGATCTTCAATGAGACTGCACAGAGGGCCCTCCGATTGGTGCCTGACGAGGAGCAGGAAGAAGATCGGGGGGGTCAAGAGGCGCGAGGGGCGGAGGGGTGTAGCACGAGCGAACATCTGGAAGGGGACGGCGGATGGAAGCAGCAAGGGTCAAGGCTTGGCAGGATAGGGGGCCCGTCATTCTTGGCTAGTACGTTGCAGTCGAGCTCTCCGCCGAAGCAGCGTCAGGAGAGCAACGAGAGGGACCAGTTCTATGTGAATGTTGGGGATGCAATTAGGACGCTGAGGGAAGAGCTTCCGGGGCTGTTCTACCGGAAACCGACGTACAACATCTACAGGTGCGGTCCAGAGTCTGCGCTTGCATCCGCAAGCTGCTCCCGTGATTTGCGGATGCATTTGAGCATAGTAGTACCTTTGATTATGTGGGTTGCTTCAAAGTTGTTATGTCCGTCGGAGTTTGCATGCAAAAAGCGCTGAAGTCGTGACCATATGCTGTTGAGGACTTGTTAAGGACATGTTGAAGCCTGGGTGAGCCAGCCTGGGTGAGCCTTGTCCACACCTTGAGCAGGATTTCACAACCCTAACATTGATCCTTTCGCGCCCTTTCTGCCCTTGTCTGCCTCAATTTTGCCTATGTAGAAAACCTCCCTTGTGACAGCTGTCCTCCTACTTAGGATGCTTCGACAGTTTTGGGGAAGGCTTTGCTTTTTGTAGCCATCCCCAGCATATGCTCAAGGTACTGGCCGCAGCATTGCAAGAAACTTGGAGCAAGGGTCCCAGTAGGAGCTTCTCTTGTCCTGAGTCAAGACATTTGAGCGGGTCCACTGCTGTAATACAAGAGTCGTATATTGGTTAAGAATAGGGTTTGAACTGTGCAAGCGCCCCCAATTTCTGTAGGGCTTTTCCCTGCCCTGGGCTTGTTGGCTTGATGTGGTTTCTCAATAAAAGCTCTTGTGTACTTTAAGTGAGGCCGTCATTATTTAGTTTGCCGTATTGTTCCTTGCCCCAAAGCTGCAAAATGCAGTATCCAAGGTCATCACGTTGTTGCTGCCTTACGGCTCTGAACATCTGGGAGCTCTGCAAGAAGTTCCTCAAACACTGTTGATTCATGTTCGTCTAGACAAAGTGTAATGAACAAAATTGCAGAACTGGCAAGTTCCAACATTTCTAAAGAAGCCTCTGCTTACTCAGCTTTGAAACAGGCTGCCGGCTGATAAATTCCAACTCTGGATGCGCAGCTAATGTGATTTCAAAGGAACAACTAGGTTCTGGTCTTTTTGCAAGAAGTTATCATTGCAGAAGAGTCGGGAAGCTTTTCCAAATCGAAGGGCCAACTTTTCGTCAATCTGCTCTTTCACCAGGTCAATTGGGCAGGACACTGCAAAGCTCACCTCACCCCACTCTAGCTAATGGCTCCTTCTGCCCCTTCTCCAGGGAGGACATTGTCTTCCGGGACCGCGTCAACACGTTTCACGGGCTTGACAACTATAAGCTCATCTTCTGGGCGCTGCGCTTCCACGGCAAGATTTTCTTCAAGGCCATCTGGGTCGACATCCAACGCATCTGGCAGCCCAATGACAAGGTCATCATGGTGCGGTGGACTGTGCGTGGAGTTCCGCGCGTGCCGTGGGAGGCGCAGGGCCACTTTGACGGGACCTCCGAGTACAAGCTTGATAAGGTGGGCGCTGAGCTGTAAAGCCACTATTGAAGTGTGCTTGATTTTGATTAGCGCCCGTTAGATTACAAGCGTTGATTTCAGTTCTTGCTGTCAGCTGTCATTCTTCGGAGCAGTCAATGTTGGACGACATGGCAAGCTGGGGCAAATGCTGAGTGTTAAGTATCATGTTTGCTTAGCTTCCCAGCTTCTACAGTTTGTTCACAACGTCTGCATAAGGTGGTTTGCAAAAGCCTTAGTAGTTTCTGTCCCTTGAGAAGCCCATGCGTTTAGTCTCAAGTGTCGCACCTTGACTCCTCATCCTGACAGGATAGCAGCGCTCATTGAAGGGCAAATGTTCGTCACCGCCTTGGATAGAGCTACAAGGTATTGAAAACATTGATTCATTCTCACAGGACGGCAAGATTTACGAGCACAAAGTGGACAACGTCATCATGAGTCAGCCCCCGTCTTACCAACCAATCAGCGTCATGGATCTTGTGCGGGCTGCCGGCGGCCGCCCCACGCCTAGTTTCTTCAGTGGCTGCGAGTCTCAAGACAGCACCAGCCTTGTACAGCCCAACAACAATTGGAGCCTGGCCCTTGTCTCAGAGTGGGAAAGGATCGCTTTCAACTTCAAGCGCGCCAGCTGGGTGCGCTTCTACTGGGCGCTGAAAGGCACCCTAGCCATCAACGGGGCGTATCCCGCTGGATTGTAAAGTATGCTGGTCTGCAAGCGTCGGTCGTGTTGGGGGCCTCTAGGTAGCTCGGGTTTGCCCATGACCAACTGTGTATAATAAGGTGTGGGCAATGCCCCCACCAGAGCGGGTGTAGAAAGGGTCACGTTGTTGAGATGCACCTAGAATTGGCCTAGCACAGTCTGGTTTTGACCTTTATCTTTCCATGTTCAACTTTGGATTGAGGCGACACTCGACGCTCAACTTGCAAAACTTACCGTTCAAATTTATGGCGGCTCGGTTTACTTTACATGCCAATGTTGTGGTATGAATGCCCGCGTGCTCCTTTGGCCATGGTCGGAACGCGAGGCCTGAGTGATGTACACGCCAATATTGTACTAAAAAGCGCTTGTTAAAGTCGCGGCATAGGAGGTTAGGCAGCAACACGATCTGGATAGTCATGGCATGACTGGCTACTAACAAGTCCCCTCCGTCATGATTTCCTGTCTGATCTTTTGAGGGTCAAGCTTTCTGTGGCATATTTACTTAAAGTCAGTATACCAATATGAGAGGCGGTTGCATGTGTCGATCCTAGCCTGCTAATCACGAGTTCGAGCTCGCGCGAGATCAGGATCCACATGCAGCCGGGCCTCTCATATAGGTATCGATTCACCCATGCATGGGACTTCATGATGAGATAGCGTTGACCACTTTTTCACCTCGACATGCTTATCGCCTAACCGGGGACCCGTGGCAGTGCACACAAATCCCATGCGGATTCAATTGTGACACCGCTCACTACCACCCCTGACATGCTTGTAGGGACTGACCTTAGGCGCTTTGACTTACAAAGAGGCCCGTTCATGGGAAACCAACCAATGCGCGCAAACATGCACGTATACCGGATGTGGCTTGGTTGATAACGTCAGCCCAGCAAAGAGTGTTTTTGCTGACACTGATGACATGCATGGCAGAGGACCCAACCTTGGGGAATATTGGTACTCGTGGGTGTGGGGTTCAGAAACATGATCCACAGTCAGCGGCTTAATGTCGTTAGAATGGACTACTTGCCCCGCATGTTCCGTCCTGCCCTCATAACTTCGTCTACTAGCAAAAGCTGGCTGGCGATAACGGGCCTGCAGACGACGATAATACATCGATCAGGCCCTCATGTCAGATTTTGAAGTACCAGATTCACAAAAGACGGGCACTCAAAACAGCTCACACCAATCGCAACCATGAAATCTTTGATATCTGACACACTTACGCAGAGTTGATGATCTGCTTCTTGACGTTGTAATTGTCGAAGACGCCCTCCACCTGGGGGTCCATCGGCTCGCCCGTGACGATGTTCAGCCCCACCACCGATCCGCTATCGTGCTCGGACTGCAGCCAAAGAGTATAGCACGTCAGTCGCTTTCCCAGAATTCTTCACCCAGAAAAGTCGGGAGATAAAAGCGTCGAAACGACCAAAGCACTTGTAGTCATACTTCAGAGGGAGAATACTGTCTCCCAGAGCAACTCTGGTGGGAGCAAAGATGCGCCGTACCTGGAGATTAATAATGACATCTTGCGTGTCCAGGCCCGAGTTTTCTGCGAGCGTCTTGGGAATGACCAGCAGTGCGTCCGCGAAAGCCTCCACTCCTAGCTGGGCGCGCTGCACACAAGAAGGGAGCGCGTCAAACTGAGTTGTCAAAGCGAGAAGACGTCCATTTGAAGCAACAATAGCAGCGCTCTTTTGCAGGAACGAGAATCTTAGCAAGTGCTAAGTGTCCAAAGAGATACGTGGCAAGCAGTGCGTCTGGGGGCGGGGCGGAACGAGCTTTCAGTGCACTGTTTAGGTCGGAGACCAGGAGAGAGCTTCAACTCACCCCCTTGACCGTCTTCTTTATGTCGTGCATTAGGTGCTGCCTGCAGGCCACCTCGAACGCCCCCGCTCCCTGCAGAGTAACACGGAACACATGGATTCAATGAAACAACCAGAACTCGTTTGTTCTTGAGCTGGTCGATCACTCTGGAGCCCCAAGGGGCCCGCCCAGTACGCACGCACTCCACAAAAGTATAGGATGGGTTCGTGACGCTTTCTGGTTAATAAACGAACCCCTGCAAAAACAAGGAAGCACCTAAACCGACGAAGGTTAGAACTGATTTATATCCTACTTTACGCTCCCAATGCCTTCACGAAAAGGCATCAAAAAGCCGTCCCAGGTTCACTCACCAGCACGACGGCTCCGTCCTCTAGCGTGTTCTTTACAGCACGCAGCCCGTCCCGCACGGCATCCTTGATCTGAGCGATGGTGTGGTCATTCGGCCCTGCAAAGATCGGCAAACTCTTGTCAGCGCGGGTCCACAAGCAGGAATACAGATTGCTCTGACCCAAACTCAAAACAAAAGGCAGAGAAATCCACGAGGAAAAAGCAGCGAAGTAATGCTGCTGCACCAGAACGTCCTTCTTGTCTGATCCTGTGCTGACTGCAGAAGCCCCTCTCGTTACGAGTGCAAAGGGTCGGTACCACTGGAGTCGCCAAATAGCCTTCTTGCCTGACCCTGTACTAGGTACAACGCCCCACCCGTTCTAACTAAAAACGCTCTGCTTGAATCTGACGCAAGCAGGAGCAGCTAGTTTGAAAGCGCACAGAGCTTTGATCACCTTTGATGAGGATGGTGCACGAGTGCGGGTTCTTGACGTTCTCCACGAAGGTGTACTTCTCCTCTCCCAGCACGTGTTCGTACACCAGCCCCGCGTACCCCAGTACGTCCGCGGACAGGTCGTCCACCGAGTTCACCGCCTCGCCCCCGCACGCCAAAACCAGGCGCTCCATGTTGCGCCGCTTTGCGCGCCGCAGACCCACGATCTGGGTGCCGAGAAAAAAGAGGGTGAGTGCAAGCAAAGGTAAATTGCGGGACGAGGATCAGAAGTATGTGCCTTCACCACAGTCCTTGTCGTATGCAGCGACCGAAAGCCGTTCGGAAAGTTGGCAGCTTGAGATGCAGGGGGAACGCCTAGGAGGTTTTTGATTCAATTGGCGTAGCCCAGTATCGGAGAAGGTGGTCGCCAGAGAAGATGTACAAGTGCGGAAAGTGTGTGATGAGCAGATAGCGGCTCACCCCTTCGCGCGCCAGCATGTCTAGTGAGATGGGGTCGATACCCTTCTGGTTGATGACCACGAAGTTCTCCCCCTCTTTGCACACCTGCAACGTACAACTCCGCTTGAGAGATCCTTCCGGACAACAGTGAGAGGAATGTCCGTGGTAGGCGAACAACCAACAGATCAAGACAACAAGAAGTCGAAACGACACTTCTTAAAGATGTATCTCCTCCATCAGCTTCAGAGCGCTGAAAAGCCCGTTTCTGCGAGTGCGCCATGGCGTGCGATATCTTTGAGACGTGAAGGTGATTCTCTAAAGGTGGCCCCTTGTGTCTCGAAATTCCAGCTCTTCAAATCTGTGTGTACCCAGCAACGAAATGGGATTAGCCTTACCTTATTCTTGAGCTCGATAACCTTCTGCACCTTGTCGTCCGTAAATTTCCTCTCTGCTGCCACCATCTTCTCCCTCTGCTCCGCACTACTATAGAAGAACCCCGCATTCACCTCACTGCAAAAGAAACAGAACACAGTACAATTACAGAATCGTGTATACTGATCGAGCAGCACTCGGAAACACGATTGTGTGCACTCTCTAGCACTACCAGATGCCACTACGACACACGGGAATGTCACGCAGGGCCAGTGAAACGCCAGCGGCAGAACGGATCGTATTCGTCGGAAAGAGAAACAAACGAGAACCAGCAACAGTCGTGTCAAAGTCAGCTCTGCTCTCACCTCTTCTCATATTCTAGAGAAACGTTGAGGGTCAGGATGTGGCAGTTCTCGACTCGCTTTGGCATGTCAGGGTGCCGGGCACCATGATCCAAGACGAGGCCCTCAATCTGCAAAGCCAACCACATGTTTCGATTTCTTCACCACTCTTGATTCGTGACACTCCCCCCCCCAAACCGTTCGGGCCAGTTGTTATGCAGATAGCACAATATACAGTTATGCAATCAGCAAGTATGCTCAGCCACATAGCCAACAGTCTAATCTTGATAAACGTTTGATTAAACCTTTTAAGACAGCGTGGCTTTCGTGTCCCTGGCTTTAGTGCAATGATTGCGTAAAGTGAAGCAGCTTATCGACAGGCGTAGGATCAAGGAGGACCGAAGGGAGCTTACCAGAGAGGTGTCTGAGCCGAACTTGTGTCGCATATGCATGATTTCAACCATAAAGAGGTCAATTGGCTCCGGAGGCGTTCTGATGCAAAGAACCTGCAAGTTGACCAGAATCAGAATGAAAATCAGAATCAGAAATGAGTCACGGGAGAAGATCAGATAGACATGATCACACAAGAAACGGGCAATTATCAACTTTTGATCTTGCTTGAAGACATTTTTGCATATCAGACCCAGTCAGCTCTGATTGAACAGCTGTCGCATTCAGCAACATGCACTAATGAACTGTGACAAATCAAGAACTTACCGAGTTGACTACGATATCTGTCAGCTGATCCGCCAGCTCCTCGTGCACCTGCAAAGGGTCCATGTGAGGGCCTCTCTTTCTGCACCACCTCTGATCAGGTGGTTAAACCATGCCCGCTTGACAAGCAAAGAATTATAAAAGTCATTACAAGGATAAGCAATCATGACATGGACGTCTTTACGCAACCTGGTGGTCTGTGACACACGTAATCTCGTAGCATCAGTAGGCAGGTTGGGTCACATGGGCCACGTGCATCTACTCCCATTCAGGAGTTTTTGCTGTACCTTCGTCCGCAGAGTCGTCCTGGCCACCATCTTCAGCAGCTCCTTGTCAGGCTTATCACCTACTTCTACAGGCTGCTTGAACTTCTCCAAGAATTCCAGCGTGGCCTTCTTTGCTATCTCAAACCCCTCCGTCAAGAGCCTTGGGTGCATTCCTGCAAGGAAAACATTAAAGGCACCACGATTCACTGATCAACAATTTTGCGCACCACTGTTATGGGCATATGAGGTGCCCCAATCACCTGCCCTGGTGTTAAGAGAAAGGTAAAACGAGCACAACATCTTCAGGCAGCAGCTGAAGCCTTCTTGCTGAGTACAGACCCGAGGAAATGGCGGACAAGAGCAGCAAGGGTGCCGCACTTCTCTGTTTATTGACTTACCCTCTGCCAGAAAGCGGTCCGACTGCTTCATCAGTTCACCAATCAGCAGCACGGTGGACGTAGTGCCATCTCCCGCTACATCATCTTGTGCAGTTGCCGTCCGAGCAATCATGACCGCCGTCGGGTTTTGAATTTGCTGTGAGGAGAAGCTGCAGCTTGTCAGAATTCGACATAAGCTGCAATTGGCCCTCACCAAAGCCAAAATTAGCCTTCCAAACAGTCAGCCAAATTGTCATAAGGTACTTGAAGCTTGCGCTTTACTACCAAAAGCAGCAAGTACGTTTTGATCCCGCAAACTAGCTTCATGGATGCTCACGCGAGCACCACCTTCAAGAAGAGTGGCGCAGTCTATCTTATTGATACCAGAAAGGCTTCTGACTTACCATTTCACGGAGAAGAGTGTTTCCATCCTTGGTGAGCTTGATATCGCCCGCACCACCAACAAGCCTGCAATCATTCATGGTACACACTTCAGGATGCCACTTTTATGCACCCCCCTTCAAAAGACGTCCAAGCACTTACTGGCCTCAGCAATTGCATACAGAGACCTCTGAAAAGACCAATTGGCTTTGCTCCCCAAAGCTGGCGCAGCGTGTCTTACATTTTGATGGTCCCTTTTGGTCCCAAGTTTGTCTTGAGCACATCCTGGAGTCCCTTAGCTGCATTTATATTCATAAACAGAGCCGCAGACTTGTTGAGCGACTCCGCATTTGCGTTCAGCGTTCTAACCGCCATGGCTGGTCTTCGTGAGCAGGCTCCAAAGTAACACAGTTCTCGCTCTCAATTTGAGCAGGTGGCGCCTCCAATCAGCACCACTACTTGTCCAGGCCCCTCGATTCTGATCGCTAATCAGTGATTTCTGCGTGATCTCTTCCTTGCCCTGATGCAGAAAGATGAACTGCACAAGACGAGCCAGCTGAATATCAACTCGATTGCTGTGCGTCATTTTGGGTTATTGTCTCGGCCGGGAGCTTGTACCGGGTATAAATGGACGATTACCAACCGCTTTGCGGACGAATTTGGACGGCTTTTTGCTCGGAAATGTGGTTCGGACAAGTGCCTGCTGTAACAAAGATTTTCACCGGGGACTCACCGGGGGGAGACAAGTGGGACCTATGATCACACATGAGCTTGCGGGGCTTTCCTTGCAACTTGCAACTTCGAGTTCCAAGTTCAAGCATGGTCATCCGTCATTTCTCCAATGCCAATGGTGCATCACTTCGTTGGGCTCTGTATGCTGTGTGGTCCCTTGTCATTTGTTCCTGCTCCCTACAAGCGGTCTGTCCGTCGGCGACACCAACGACAGAGGCGGACAGGCGTCTCAATTGCGCTCCTAGACAGCTTTTCCTGGGCATCAAACCCGTTTCTGACCATTGGCCTGCCCTTCGTCCTTCCAATTTCTTGTTGCCAAGGGTTTGGTTCTTGAAGTCATTGTGGCAGGCTAACGACTGAGCTTTTCACCCTGCAGATTGTCTCTGGCGCAAGAAGGCAGTGGCAATCTCTGACTCTCCCTATCCCACCAGCCCCAACTGCCTTTGAGCACAACCAAGCTTGTCCTCTCTTAAGGGCTTGTCTGCCAGGGATTGCTGTAGGCTCGGCAGAACTTGTCTCCTGCCCTCTTGCGACATTCCCGCACCATTGAGTCTGACACAGTGTCATTGCCATTTTGGGCGGAGACGAGCGGCCACCCTGGCGAAACAACTAGAAAGTTTCCGGCCGAGTGACGGCACGGACGAGGAGGGGGCGGAGGAGGAGGCCCCCAGCGAGCTCAACACTCGCAACTATGGCGGGTTTCTGGAGGTTGGGAAAGACAAGCTGAGTGTGCGGTACACGGGGCATGGACAGCACGGGCATGACGTGGGGTCAATACAGGCCAACCGGCCTGTGCCTCGAGAGAGGCTGCTGTACTACTTTGAGCTGACGGTGCGGGACCGGGGGGACAGGAACTGCATTGCAATTGGCTTCACAGACGAGAATTTCAAGCACAGCCGCCAGCCAGGGTGAGCCTTTTGGAAAAGACGGTGACTGATGGCCGTCATTGTCTGGGATTGCAGGGCAGGGGTTGGCTAATGACATTATGGTTGGGTGTCCCCTCGAGAACACCGTTCTCTCCTATGCGTGTAACCAGTTGTAAAGCTTTCGTGGCTAAGCGCCTCCTAACTTAGACTGAAACAGTCTCTGGAAGGGTTTTCTTTTGGTGACTCCCTCCTTGGCGCCATGGCGCCACCTTCATTCGTCAAATACTAGCGGTGGTGCTTCATGTTCCAACCCTGCTGTCTGATTCTAGGCTACTCGTGTTCCCTTCCCTGCTGTCTGATCCTGAAGCAGAGAATCTAACGTGAGCTGTCTCCCTTGCAGCTGGGAGGCTGGCAGCTATGGCTACCATGGAGATGACGGCAAGGCCTATCATGCCTCAGGCAGAGGGGACGCTTATGGGCCGACGTTCACAACAGGGGATGTGGTTGGGGCGGGGGTCAACCATGCCACCCAGGAGATCTTCTTTACGTGAGTTGACACTGCCTTTGTATTTCTGTTGGTTGGAACAAGATGACTGGGTTTCAATGGACCTCTCTTTTCTCTTAGGTTGGTGTACATTGTTGGTCATTCCTGTCTGAATCATGCCCTGCGATCGGCCCTTCAGGAATCAGTCAGTCTGGAGGCATTGCTGAATCTGTTCTTACTTCGACAGAGGAAGAACACTTACTTCCTCAGTAGTTGGACCCAGTGGGTGGAGTTTCCAAGACACATTGGTTTGTTAGGAAAGTCGCTGAGATGCCCCTTTGAGTGGTTCTTTGGATCAGTAATTTCTTTCTGTCAGGGCTGCATGAGGAGGGTTCACATGTCTGCAGTCCTTCAACTCGCATTCTTTGCTTTCGAGCATACATACTCGCCTCTTGTGCCCCTGACCCGTACAGCTCCTGTGCCAGGCTATTCTCTTACTTCTTGCTGGTGATCTTCTGATGACACGAATGGGTTTCATTCCTCGGTGTTGAGCACTGAAGCTTCCCAAGCACAGGCTGCCTCCTCACAGATCTACCTCCTGAGAAAAGGCAACAGCTGTTCTCCTGTGATCGAGTCAATCTCTGTCCTGATAAGAGTCTACTCTCGGCACTTCTGAGATTCCCCTCGCTCCCCCACTGGATCAACATCTGCATGTCCTCATAGGTTTGCTGTTTCCTTTTCAGGAAGAACGGGAAGCATCTGGGCGTCGCGTTTGCGGACGTGAGGGAGATCCTGTATCCCACAGTGGGACTCCATAGCAAAAACGAAAGGTGACGGACAGAGTCGTCTTTGCGCCAGCCGTTCAAATTGGGCCATCCGAGACTGACGATACACCCCCGACAAACATGCTGCAATGCAGGAAAATCGAAAACCTCGCCATCGTCACTGCCCCACAGCTAAATTTGCAGTAGATGAAACCTCGTCGCCTCATCTGCTCTACAGGGTGGAGGTCAACTTCGGAAAGCGGCCTTTCAAGTTTGATCTTGAGGTGAGGATTGCTGTAAGCTTGCCCGCTGGTTTTGTCAGTGAATCTGCGTCCTGACTCGATATGCTCATATTCCGTCGTCCAGCGTGATCGGCGTTGGCTGGGCCAAGTGTGTAATTGCTTAAGGCCAGTGGATGAGGTGACTGGACTCGGTCAGCAATGGCAATCCGCGTTCAATGCCTTGCCTCTCTGCAAGCGATCCGAGGTTAAGCCGAAACTCGAAACGACTTTTGTCGATCTCCTTCTCTGCAGGCTTTGGTCCAAGAGGAGAGGGAACGACGACAGCGTGCAGTAGAGCTCGTAGAGATGCCGTCGAGTATCAGCCACAGGTTGGTGCTCGTCCCATGTTTCGCCGTCGCAACTTCGTTCACAACTTTGTACAAGTGCTGATAGTTTTTCAAGCATTGAATGACCTTGCAAGACCCGGCTTATCGGTTTGGTCCTGCTGCCTATGATGCCGGACAGTTTTACCTTCTTTGAACTGAACGAAAATTGTTCGAGCTATGCTGAGGCGCTAACGACGCTAGCAGCCTCCGCTCTTTAATCCGTCTGCAAGCAATACGTCACATCATAACGTCACGCCACTCTTCAGAAGCAAGGACGGACACAGCCTCGTTCCTTGGCCTCAAAATGCAGTTTTTGACGTCTTTCGGAAGTGACTTGCTTTCAAGCAGGATGTAGAAAAAGCCCATCACACATTGACAGCTCTTGAAACGGCAGCATTCTTACCACTCCTCGCAGCATCGTTCGCGGCTACCTGTTACATTACGGCTACCAGGACACCTTGAACGCGTTTGACGGCTCCGAGGGGGTCCACTCGGCGCCCGGCAGCAGCCAGAACGGCAACGGGCACTTGGCCCATAAAGACATAGGCTGGTTCGCGCTAGACGAAAGAAAGCAGCTGCGGCAGGTGAGTGCCCTCGCAAGCTTCGCGGAACAAGTGATGAAGCGTTCTGCAAGTCCGATGCCGAAGCGGACGTTGAAAACCGCTCGTGGAGGTCATCTGGGCTTTTGGAACCGTTGTGAGAGTTTCTTTCACGCCTTCCGTTGACGCTCCCATTCGTTTCGGATGCTCTTCTTACGCTTGCCTTCTTGCTCTTGAACATCCAATATAGTGCTGATTGGCTTCTTGCCCCTGCAGCTCATAGGGGAAGGGAAGATCGACGGCGCATTGCAGGCGCTCTCCATGTGGTATCCAAGTATCTTGCAGGTAAGCACCGCGACGTGATTCACCCCGTCAAAGGTCCGTGCGCAAGCGTTGTAGACGTACTGCCGCCCACAATCACGACGAGTGCGCAAAAGACTCCATTGAAAGGCGCGAAGTCGATTACTTCTTCTGCATCTTGCGCCCTACAAGATCGTGACAGAATTTAAACGACACTTGATCGCCTGCGCTTAGTGGGTCAGATTGACTTCGTAAGTGAACAGTCGCCTATTTCCGAGCCGGCGTTTGTCCTTTTCGTGTTGCCCGCCCGCATCTCTTATCGTGCTCTGTTTATCCCGTGCAGGATAGCCGGACAAACGTGGCCTTCCTCTTGAATTGCCAAAAGTTTGTAGAGTATATAAAGGTGAGCACCTCTGCATACTCGTAGCACTCTGCCCACCAGTCGAGCCGCACTCCTTTGGCTTGCTTTGGCTTCCTTTGTCAATTCACTCGCATTATGTAGCAGGTCGTGAAGGCTATAAGGAAGTCTGGAGTCCAAAAGGTTTTCAGCTCACTCTATACTGCCGCTAAGGTACAATTTTCTGCCGGCTGACGATATCTATTGCTCCGTGCAGCTATCTCAGTTGGACGAGGCCGTCAAACACGCGCGCGGAGTCCTCTCCACTTTCCGGGGCTACAGCGCGTTGCAGGATGCGCATCTGGAGGTGAGAGATTCCGAAGCCTCCGTCTCTCTCAATCTCCTCGTGTGAGGAGGTTGCGTCGCGGCAAATTGGCAGATTTTTTTGGTTAGTGATGTGGCCGTCGGTGCGCTGATCCACGGTACATGCTGGAGCCAAAGATATCGGTCTTACTGAGGCATACTGCAAATTTACCCTTCGTTATTCCGTACCGCTTCAAACGTGCTGCCCCTAATTATCAAACCCACTTTCCCATTTCCGCACCGCCCGCCTCGTCCCCGTTGACCCCTGTCAAAACCAACTTCGCTGCTCCTGTTCACCTCGTGCTTTCAGTGCCTCTCCTTACTATGGAATCCTCGTAGAGCCTCTTAATCCGCAACGAAGAGTGCTAGGGGGCTTCATGCAACCAATCCGCACTTACGGCCGACAAAGCCCTCGTATTTC